GAAAACATCTCATGCATCTCTGTCCACAATTGATAATTGTGTGTATGGTTTCAAGGTATTTTTCAGAACAAAACGGAAATACAATACACTGGACTTACAAGAATATTTTTTTTGAATGGCACTTAGAAGTGAGACACACAAGGGGCCAAGTTTAAGGATGTCAACTTTTGTATTTTGAGCAACATGACGTTTCAGAGTATATTCTTACTCCTTCAAAGGAGAAATTTATTTCCTTAGATTAGGTCCATCTATGAGTCTAACATATGACTCACCCTCTCTGGTTTGGGGGTTCTGGGGGCATCTATGCGGTAAGTCTAACATACGACTCACCCTCTCTGGTTGGGGGGGTTCTGGGGGCATCTATATGGTAAGTCTAACATACGACTCACCCCTCTCTGGTTTGGGGGTTCTGGGGGCATCTATATGGTAAGTCTAACATACGACTCACCCTCTCTGGTTTGGGGGTTCTGGGGGCATCTATATGGTAAGTCTAACATACGACTCACCCTCTCTGGTTTGGGGGTTCTGGGGGCATCTATATGGTAAGTCTAACATACGACTCACCCTCTCTGGTTTGGGGGTTCTGGGGGCATCTATATGGTAAGTCTAACATACGACTCACCCTCTCTGGTTTGGGGGTTCTGGGGGCATCTATATGGTAAGTCTAACAGCTTGGGGGTTCCACGACTCACCCTCACCCTCTCTGGTTTGGGGGTTCTGGGGGGGGCATCTATATGGTAAGTCTAACATACAACTCACCCTCTCTGGTTTGGGGGGTTCTGGGGGCATCTATATGGTAAGTCTAACATACGACTCACCCTCTCTGGTTTGGGGGTTCTGGGGGCATCTATATGGTAAGTCTAACATACAATGACTCACCCTCTCTGGTTTGGGGGTTCTGGGGCATCTATATGGTAAGTCTAACATACAACTCACCCTCTCTGGTTTGGGGGTTCTGGGGGCATCTATATGGTAAGTCTAACATACACGACTCACCCCTCTGGTTTGGGGGTTCTGGGGGCATCTATATGGTAAGTCTAACATACAACTCACCCTCTCTCTGGTTTGGGGGTTCTCGAGGCATCTATATGGTAAGTCTAACATAATGGACTCACTCACCTCTCTGGTTTGGGGGTTCTGGGGGCATCTATATGGTAAGTCTAACATACAACTCACCCTCTCTGGTTTGGGGGTTCTGGGGGCATCTATATGGTAAGTCTAACATACAACTCACACCCTCTCTGGTTTGGGGGTTCTGGGGGCATCTATATGGTAAGTCTAACATACAACTCACCCTCTCTGGTTTGGGGGTTCTGGGGGCATCTATATGGTAAGTCTAACATACAACTCACCCTCTCTGGTTTGGGGGTTCTGGGGGCATCTATATGGTAAGTCTAACATAAGACTCACCCTCTCTGGTTTGGGGGTTCTGGGGGCATCTATATGGTAAGTCTAACATACACACGACTCACCCTCTCTGGTTTGGGGGGTCTGAGGGCATCTATATGGTAAGTCTAACATACCACTCACTCACCCTCTCTGGTTTGGGGGTTCTGGGGGCATCTATATGGTAAGTCTAACATACGACTCACCCTCTCTGGTTTGGGGGTTCTGGGGGCATCTATATGGTAAGTCTAACATACAACTCACCCTCTCTGGTTTGGGGGTTCTGGGGGGGCATCTATATGGTAAGTCTAACATACGACTCACCCTCTCTGGTTTGGGGGGTTCTGGGGGCATCTATGCGGTAAGTCTAACATAAGACTCACCCTCTCTGGTTTGGGGGTTCTGGGGGCATCTATGTGGTAAGTCTAACATACGACTCACCCTCTCTGGTTTGGGGGTTCTGGGGCATCTATATGGTAAGTCTAACATAAGACTCACCCGCTCTGGTTGTGGGGGTTCTGGGGGCATCTATGCGGTAAGTCTAACATATGACTCACACTCTCTGGTTTGGGCGGGTTCTGGGGCATCTATATGGTAAGTGTAACATACTACTCACCCGCTCTGGTTTGGGGGTTCTTGGGGCATCTATGTGGTAAGTCTAACATACTACTCACCCTCTCTGGTTTTGGGGGTTCTGGGGGCATCTCCTGCTGGATAATGTCCACCAGGGTGGCCTGAGCCTCCGCCCATTGCTTGTTGTAGTAGCTGATGACAACAGAAAAAAACATCCTTGTTTAGCAGAGTACAATCTGAATACACTTTGTACACAGAAATTAATGACAAACACCTTGACAAGGTCTGTGTATTTCATTTTACTTATACTAGTTTGAAGAATACCAGACACCTTCTGCCATTTTGGTAAGAGAAGTGCATGTGTTTATGTTTAGTAACAGGTTTCTAAGATGTTCAGCCTTCATCTTCATCATATAACACGATCTATGGAGAATGTGGCAAGTGTCCTCTTATTGTAAAGTAATTGAGAATTGGATAAAGTTATTACACATGCCATCCTATCACTTACCAAAGGAATGTTATGATATGATGCTTTTATAAAAATTATATGATAGAAATTTGACATAAAACTTAAAAGCTGGGTGACTGGCATAAAACAACTAATATTTTCTACTGGATTTGGAGATATTTGGCATAACCAAGAAATTGGAATATATCTGGAATTCATCAAATCATTTACTAAAAGACATGTATTTTTAAAATTGGCAAGAAAAAAATCTATTTCAAGCAAATGTGACACTTACCTAATGTTTAAAAACAATATCGATAATGACCGAATTCTATTTACCATGTTTAAATGTAAAAAAGTAAAGAGCAAGTTTAGCACTATTCCAGTGCTCATCGCATGAACGTTTAATTGCGGAAGGTAGACATGTACATATGAATAGAGAATATAAAACTTGTCACAATTATGTAATTCAAATGCAATTGAAGACAAGTATCATTTTCTTCTTGTATGCCCTAAATGCAGTAATCTTCGAAGCAAATATATAAAAGAAAAATATTATGTCCATCCAAACAAGCTTAAATATTCACTACTGCTAAACAGTTCAAATACTAAAATAATCGAAAACCTGTCCATGTATATTTTCTACGTCTACGGAATTGTACAAAGAAAGCATATTGTTCCTTGAATGTGTATAAACAAATGTATACAGTGTACTATAGGCCTGAGGCCTTTTGATTACCGGAATAAAGATTGATTGGTTGATGTTTAGCCTTCTCACTAATGTAACAGGGGTTTGTGCCCTGCAAAAAATGTCCTTGAAATATTGTCCTTTAGATTTCAGCACAACTTCTCATGAGGACGTTCTCTGCCGAAGGTCACATGTCACTGAGACAGGCAGCCAGTTTGTGAGAATCCATCGGATGCATCACTCATGATCTTCGGATTGTTAGCCCGACAGCTAACCGACTGAGCTACGTCAACACTGTTATACAATGTGCAAATTTATTGTCATTCCTGAGACATTACGGAAATGAACGGAAATAAGCGAATAGGTCACGGACAATTACCAAGGTTACGGGTAGCCTTGGTGTCTCGTGATTTGAATCTACAGACAATTGACGAATGCTCCTCATGCCATTTGGAACACACATCCCATTCTGTAATCTACAAGATACCGTGTGGTGTGGAATGAGCCGATGTGGCGCAAACTGAAAACGGCTGTTGACGTCAGGCGTCAGACGTCAAATTCACAGTATACATGAATGACATGCTTTTTAAAAAATCATCGGGTGATTTTATGAGAGAACAGTGTTGTAGGGGACACTGTAAGCATAATGTGGATCGCACTAAGGAAAAAGGGAGGCATGAGCGTGTTTGGTGACGGCATGAGGGTGAGTTATCCTTCGAATCATTGCTGAAAAAAAGTAGGCTCCCAAATGTTGCGTGTGAAAAAAGTATTAGAAATGCGGGAAGAAAAACAACAACAAAAACAACAACAAATGGTACACAATTTATTGCATTACACCGGACATCTATACCTACCATATATTGGATTCTAGCCCTAGCCCTAAACCCTAACCCCAAACCTAAATCTAAACCCCTCAAAATAATCCTAATAAATAAAACACATAGACCAAAGTGGCATGAAAATGGCTGACATGTAATGCATTCTTTGGCTACAGAGCTTATAGGCACTCGCTGAGCCAGACAACCTTGTTGCTATGCCGGCGTCACAGGGCATTGTTTCGAGAACATGCTTTGGAACAAAATCACATACAATTATGTAAAAGGGTATTATGACGTATTTTTAATGTTTGTGGTGCTGTATTCTGAAGATAGGCCATAATAAGTTATCAAAATTCATAAATACATATTATACGTTTCTTGTAAATGATCCCAAATGCATGTAACTGATGAGGTTGTCAAATGAATTGATTTGAATACAAATTCAAGCATGATATTTTCAATATTTTCCTGCCCATTTTGAGCTTTATCCACCTTCTTATGAAATGGCCATGTTGTTGCTTCGCTTGCCTCTATATTAGAAGCCTCACACAATATGGCAAATAGGTAAAAAGTATAATTATTTGTTAGTCAACCCACATTTTAACAAATTTACAAACAAATATTGTGTTTATAAATATTACAGTTTGACAGACATTTGACATGGAAATCTTGATCCCATATTAGAGGAAATTTGTGATGAAGCACAATGTTAACAAAAATCATTCATGATAATTTTGCGATAAGCAATACAAGATCTATCAAAAATATCAATATTAAGAAACAAAATTATACAAATAAAGAAAACTGGAAACATCCAGTCATGCTACCATTGACAGCAGTAAAACTGGCTTCTGGGCCGCAAAAGTGAAATGTTACATTACCTGTGTGACATCGTCACTGCTACAGGAGGACGTGATAACTAAAAAAGCATTTATTTCAAACACAGAACACTTCGACAAGGCGCCATTTTGTTTTATCATTTGCTGTCATGGAAACAAACTCTCGATTGTTACGAGACTTCCGGTACGTTCAATAACTGGTTCTGTCCACCGAAAACTATCCATTTTTGCTCTTCTTTCGAGTACTTAAGAAGGACTCCAGTCTATGAAAACCCGGAAGTGGCTCACAGAGGGGAAAAGTTCACTTTGGTTGTTGACGAAATTTGTGACATTTCACTGTGTTTGTATATTTTATTTGTCCTCATTTTTAAGGCATGTATGGAAATCCAACTGGCAGCTGTTTTCACATTCAGTTTAGCAAAATCAATCCTTTGTTTGATTTGAAAAAAATGAAAACAGGATAGCTGACCGATCACTTTTGAGCAACAGGCACACCATTCTGTTGAAACAGGTCGAAGTGTAATCGTCTCATGACTCAATTCGGTTACTGTATTGTTATGACTTTGCACCCATGCTTTAGAACATGACACGTAAGGCGGTTGATCAATGACAATCCTCATGTGCGATGTGACAGAATCCTGACCAGTACACACATGCTACGTGTTTATAACCAAACGATTGCATTGCCGTTTCTATTTTAAGAAATTTACGTTACCTATATCAGAGTCCGGAGTCCTATCGGTAAAGTGCAGTACTCCCGTCCTATCATTGCTATATCGTTGGTTGTTAACGATCTACGTTTACAAGTTGAAACACATTCGTCAGTATGCACTAGATCTAGCTGTAATGTGAATCAAGAGTAATATTTCATGAAGTGGCATGGAAATGACTTTAGGAAGATACCAGAAGTGAAAATTAACATTATTGTTATTTTAAAAATTCTCTTACTATTTGATTTGCAGGTAGAAGACAAGACATAAATATAAAGAAAAGGACCTGTTAGTTACAACCAGATTCTGAGAACCATGTCACTTCAGTGGACATTCATCGCTGCTTGTCTCTACATAGAGATAGCTGTCATTTGTCTTCTGCTGTTTCCTTTTATTCAGCCATCAAGGTAAGAGAAAGACTGTGTAACTCTATCAGTGTATCGATGTATTGTTATAGGATACAGGACAATTCATACCCACAGAGATTTGTACCCAACAAGAATGGCTAGCTCATACCTGATGTTCCAATCAGGTTGTACCTGTTGTATTTATGTATTTTGTAAAACAAGATGTCCGAAACTAGATTACCTTAACCTGTATACACCATAAAATATAAAGTATGTTTCTAATCGTTAATTCATTCATTATGTGTCCATGATAAATTATCTTATATTCTGTCCTGCACCTAAGTCACAATTCATAGCACTATCATTTCCAATATTCTTTTGTTTAACACTTGATACCTGCATTCTTGTACTACGTACATACAGTTCCAACATCCATTCCTTTTTCAAATATTCATACATCTGTATCGTAACGTCACACTCACAAATAAAAGAAGTTGCTATCCATAAAGTTTGTTCTATATTGCAGATTGTACCTGTTGTATTTATGTATTTTGTAAAACAAGATGTCTGAAACCCCATTACCGTAACCGGTATACATCATGTGTTCATAATAATTTCCCTTATATATCTGTCCTGCACATAAATCACAATTAATTCATCGTTTCCAATATTCTTGTTTTACAGTAACTTACACTTGATACCTTCATTCTTGTACTACATATACAGTTCCAAAATCAATATAGTTTTCATATATTCATACATTAGTTTCATCAATCGTCATTGTTTGTTGGTAAATGAACAGTCAAACATTCAGTGCAATCAATGGGCGTCATTTGTTAAGTGGCCTGTGAATTGTTATGTGACTAACGGAATCGGGTGGTCAGGCTCACCATACTCACTGATTTGGTTGACAAATGTCATGGTATCCCAATTGCGTAGAGTGGTGCTCATGCTATTGATCACTGGATTGTCTGGTCCAGACTCGATTATTTACAGACATATAGCTGACATATATTCTGCCATATAGCTGGAATAGTGCTGGGTGCTGTGTTAAACAACAAACAAACCTAACTTTCTTTTCATTTTGTTGTGGTAGAGGTGATACCTTCCAGAAAGCGACTGGAATTACTAAAGAGTTTTTCTGGTTTTAACATGTTTAAGGTACGGATAATTTGTACAGATAAGAATACAAACTATTAAAGTATCAAATCATAAATGTTTTCATTTGGTACAGTTTTCACTATTTAGTTATGAGTCATCTAGTTGATTAAGTCCAACATCACCCTCCACTGTCCAGTGTGTTGTATCTCAATTCTGTTCTAATATATATGGGCGGTGGGATAGACTAAAACTAAACTCAGTCAGTCAGTCAGTCTAATATATATCCTGGACCTTATTTGCTCACATGATCGCAGTTTTGTCAGATCCATGTCACCTGTCTTTGAATGGAATTTTCTGTTGCTCTTGAGAGTAATTGACAGGTATTTTTAGCATTACAAATTAAGCTGGAAACAAAGCCAAGGTGGTGAACAGGTCCAGGATGTTTATAATTAATAAATGGAAATATGGTACACTGGGTAATCTAGGATGTGATGCAATGTTTTTGAAATTGATGAAAAGTGACAAGGTTAGAACACAGAGAACCAAGGATTATCTGTCCCATGTGAATATATTATGTAAGTCCCAAACCCTTAGTAAGGGACTAGCAACCTCCTTTTATGAGGGACAGATAATATGTAATTCAGAGTTTCGACTTGGTTTTTCTTTATATAACATCCCCAAGCGTGATATTGCTGGAATATTGCTAAATGCTGTGTAAAACTAAACTCACTCACCATTTACATAACACATGAGATATAATGTATGTTTACTTTTAATAATAGTTGTTGATTGTGGCTTAAAGACTTCCTGTCCCCCATTACACAAGTGTTCTTGAACCAATGTTAAGAATGGGAGGTGTTACAGGTGGGGTGGCCTTCACCATACTTAAATTGTTTTATTGATGGAACTATAAGTTTCCACTGTGACATGTGGTACCAGCATTTATTCACTTAAACACACTAACACACTGTTTTGTGTTTTATGTAGTTAGAATTACAGACAAATGATTGTCTTAACTTGTTCTGGAAAAAAAAAACAGCCTCGCAATGGGTGACCATCTCGGTGATGACGAAACTGTATAAATCTGTACGATGGTGATCCCACTTTTTATGTTCACTTTTGAACTCCTGATATCTCAATTCATTGCCTGAGTAACCATGTATCATTCCATGGCCAAAGCATATTGAAACAGAATGATTTTTCTTGTTTGGAATTAAATGTAATGAAATATGAGCTTCCCACATTGTACACATGTCGTTTTAAATCTAGGTAATGGACGTGACGGTTTAACCATTAGGCTACCCCATCGCCCCAAGAGCTCGCAAAGTGAATGACCAGGTTTTCCCCCTCCCCGGATGCCAAGTCATTTTCTGATACACATTTTTATAAGACCAAAAAGTGAACATGGTGCAAGAAATTCATTCACACAGCACTAGATGTTCTTCTGACTACAAAATTTCATATACATGTAAAAAATTGATTTCCCATTAGATGATATAAATTCAAAAGCCAATACTTTGGGTTTTTTACAATAACACCATTATGTTTGACGCCATGGCTTGGATGGCGACATTGGGTAACAGAATTGTTATGTTGATTAATCAATATCTGACCTATTTTCCATTCATTAAAAATATCTAGGTGTTGATATCACAGCAGCTATATTTCAGCAGTCTGTAAATAGATGCGTCTCTACCAGACAATCCAGTGATCAACAGCATGAGTATCAATCTAGGCAATTAAGTCAGTGAGGCTGACCACCCGATCCCGTTAGTTTTATGCCAATCATGGGTTACTGACAACCAATTCTAATCCAGATCTTCATGGGTGTTCAAGATTATATTGGACTTCTCTTTGTTCATCATGATGTAGGGCGGTGTGGTAGCCTAGTGGTTAAAGTGTTCACTTGTCATGCCAAAGACCCGGGTTCGATTCCCCACATGGGTACAATTTGTGAAGCCCATTTCTGGTGTCCCCCGACGTGATATTGCTGGAATATTGCTAAAGCGGCGTAAAACTAAACTCACTCACTCATCATGATGTGGTTAGCTATTTCTCTGCATAGTTATATACTAACCAGGATGCAAAGAAAGCGCTTTTTGTATGGAACTTTCAGAATATCTGTAAGGTTTGACCGAAGGAGTACGACACAAACAAACAGAAACTTTCAAAGGTTAAAACATATGTGACCTGTATCTACCTATGATGTTGAACAAAGATAAATGTTTATAATGCTATTAATTGGGTGCAAAACTATGTAAAAGATATGCAAAACTACACCATAATAATAAAACTGTAAGCTGCGGGATTGGATGGTCATGTGTACTTATTTCTGCCAACCTTCACCTCAAAGAAATTACCGAATATGTACAGCAATGATGTCTTTCACTGGCATTTAGAAGTTGTACATAGATGTCCAAGATATTTTTATGGATTAAACTTCTTTTTTGTTTTTCTCACGACGTTTCACATCACGTCACGTCATAGTGACGACGTCATAGCCTCAACTGTCAGTTCACCTGATGAAGGAACCTGGAATTGTCCCGAAACGTCTTGAGGGAAATAGAAAAGAAGTTTAATCCATAAAAATATCTTGGACATGTACAGCAATGTTGATATCACAACTGATGACCGATTTGGTGTTTGGAGTTACATTTACAATACATACCCAAACATATGTTTGTTTATGAACTCAAACGGATGCATTTTTATTTTTATTTCAGATGGCAGAAAATATTTCGTTCCCGAATTCTGAACAGCATGGCAGCGTATGGCAACATATATTTCAACGTGTTTATTGGTATATTAGTCCTGCTATTTTTAGGTGAGTAGAAATTGTCACTTGAACTATAGTACATATCAGTATGATCAAAGATAAGGCTGTGTCAGTACTCTAATACATTTGATGTCATTCATATTAATCATAAACACTATACTAGAATCTTCGTTTAGTTAGATCACAATACAATATTCTATAAATTGAACTGTACCGAAGGAGTTAACCCCATAATGCTAAAGTGCAACCCCACGTATACCAGCCTTCAAAATTACTGCTAGTTTCACTACCCTGTCTATTACACGACCCTGAACAAAGCACATCATCAGATCATCATCGAAAGCACATCATCAGCTTTTGTTACTCCATAGTTTATTCAATACAACAGCATAAATAAATACGTGTTTATAGAAACGCAGTGATTGTTTTGAAAAATATGCATGTACAATTAACTATTATGCCAAATTATATTGAACGTTTTTAGATGATCCCCGTTCCAGCTGACTTCAGACTCCCTGATTGTGGAGACTGTGTCAGCTGGCTGGCCAATCATAATCTAGACGAGGCTCATTTAAACTTTATTTGGTTTAATATGTATAGTATAAGCAAGGAATTCACATACAGTGGAAACTTACACACCAGAATAGTTCTTAGTTGGAACAGTTATTTAGAAAAAAATGTTCAGATTTTCTGTCAAACAACATCACTGGCTATCAGACATCAGTTGACTTAGCCAGTCATAAAAATATGTGAGATTTTCTTTCTCTCTCTCTCTCCTCCACACCTGTGCTCCTTGTTTTCACCAATGTGGTGAATGTCATTCAGCTGAAATGCAGTGATATTAATGCAATTGTGTCCAAAGCAGCATTAAGTGCAACTCCCTCGCATCAAAACAGCAATTTGTTTGACAATCAGAAATGTTAAGTCACGATGCTAATTTCAGATTCTGTGCGTGAAGTACGAAAGTATGCTGGGCCAATTGAGGAGGTCGACCTGAAGCACAATCCAGAAGCCCAAATGATGGCTCAGATGAAATTATTCCGTGCCCAAAGAAATTTCTACATTGCTGGATTTGCGCTATTCCTTTTCTTGTAAGAAATAATTTGTACACATCTAATTTGTAAATAATTTTGTCCTAAGAAATGGCATATGATGACATGTATCCAGGCAGGACGGATCCTTATTTGCTGGCTAGGTGGAGTCGTCTGGTGGTTAAAGCGTTCACTTGTCATGATGAACACCAAGGTTTCGCTTTCCCACATGGATGCAATGTGTAAAGTCCTTTTCTGGTGTTCCTCGCCATGATATTGCTGAAATTTGGCTAAAAGCGGCATAAAACCATACTCACTCACTATTTGCTGGCTCCCTTGAGGATTCATTTTAGATTTTCTGGGCCCATTGAGTAAGATATGAGTGATCCCCGTGTCCCAGCACCATTTCGTGCCCCAGTGACCTCTGGTGACCTCTCAGGGCCTCCCAATGCCGAAGAATGAAAAGTTTGTAAGTTATCTAATCTTAAGAAACTATACAGACTTCAATGAAGACTTTAACTATTCACTCGTGTGACTGTTTGCCTTGAGTAGTGTGCCCCATGTTGCAGTGATGTGTTTTGATTCATGCAACCAACATTTCAGCATCATCCGTCGTCTCGTGGTGCTGATATCTACTGCCGCACGCCTGTCCGCAGAGAGTGAGGCCAGTCGCAAGCAGGCAGAGGGCGCGAGCGAGGCGGCCCGGAGATTAATGGAGGACAAGGAGAACAAGGTCAACAAGGTAGGTCAAGGCTGCAGGCAGACACATATCAGTCAGTACCCATGGTAACAGTGAAATTACTCACTGAAGACAAAGAGAATACAGTCAACCAGATAGATAGCAACAGTGGGATATATTTAAAATTCAGGGTGAATGAACAAGGTGAAAATTAGGTGGCCAGGGCAAAGCTGACCTGTTTCCATGGTAACAGTATCGAACGTAACAGTAGGAACAGGATTGTTAGACTGTGCTGACATGCCTTGAATACGCAATTCACGGGTGTCTGGTCCATTACATATGGTGAGCTTCAGTTTATGCAGGGGGACCCATATGGGGAGCTTCAGTCATCAGAGGAGCCACCATTTGATGTGCAGAGTTGCCTCCCTTAGCCAGACCAGAGACCTGTAATCATGAACTGGATTCCTGGTGTGACCTAGTTGTGTTTCTCGTTTCATCCTTCGCTGTTGTTAATGGTAACATATTGCTACTATGAACAATATGGGTGTTGCAGTACTTTTTCCATGTGTATACGATTCCACCAAGAATGTTAATTACACATTAAGACAACATGGACTACTACAACAGATTTTATTGTGGTGGTTATGAAATCACGTACGAAGACTGTGAGGAGCCATGTTTCAGTGTGTACAGTTGTCTTCCTGAGGGATACTAGACAGCCATGATTCACCCTGAGTGTCCTCTTGTTATCCTCATGATTTTCAAAAGGGGGACACAAGACTTCATCTTTCCTTCTGCTTTCATTTATTGAAATACAGTTCAAAGCAGAAGTAAACAAAATTGACTTACCGCAAGTGAATATTCTGTATATTAAATATTCAATAACATCCACATCTATAAAGTCTTGTCAAGTGTCCCTTGTCCTCTCAATCTCCAGGGTGAGCATTTAAAAAAATAAAATTAAACTCCTGGATCCGTTCCCATGGTTTTGGCAGTCTCAGATTACCCGCCCTTGATTTCCATTTGCCAGTTTGATTGGCAACGCTGTGAGTTCTAATATACCAATCAGTTGGTTGGTTTGTTGTAAAACGACGCATTCAGCAATATACCAGCTAAATGGCGGCGGTCTGTAAATAATCGAATCTGTGCCAGACAATCCAGTGATCATCAGCATGGGCATCGATCTGCACAACTGGGATATGATGACCTGTGTCAATCAAGTCTGACCACCCCATCCCGTTCGTTGCATTGGGTTACTGAAGACCAGTGCTAATCCGGGTCTTCATGGGTCATGTACCAATCAGAATGCGAGTTACAAAGTAGCTTACATCTTTACTACATTAAAACATGGTGGCCAGTCACATTGATTATGATATAAAGATTGAGAGAATTCAATATTGAAAACCTGACCTGACCACGCAAGAACCATCACAGTGGATCCACGGGCTAGTGTAAGTTTACCGAAATTCAGAGGATAGAGGATGTGTGTGTCCCTGTGTGACCATGGCTGTGTCTTTCAGACCAAGGAGGAAGAGGGTGCTGGGGAGGATGTCGGTGCAGCCAAGGAAGCTGCTAAGAAGAAGGATGAGGTCGAGCAAGAGCTGAGGAAAGCCAAGGATGGTGAGAAACTGAACTTTATTTATCAGCATTTGAGTCATCATACACCCTGGGCCTCTTGTCTGAGGCAGGGGCGGTGGGGTAGCCTAATGGTTAAAGACCCGGGTTCGAATCCCCACATAGGCACAATGCGTGAAGCCCATTTCTGGTGTCACCCGCCGTGATGTTGCTGGAATATTGCTAAAAGCGACGTAAAACCAAACTCAGTCAGTCTTGTCTGAGGCAAAACAGTTTTCTATACAGAGTTGCTCCCCATTGCCTAGACATTGATTGTTAGGTAAAATGCTATATTTTCATGCTGTATTTTTGTGCAACTGGTGAACCACTGGACAAAGGCAAAACAATGTGCTGTGTTGAGTTGCTCCCCTTGTCTAGCCAGGATACACCAACTGGTTCAAATGCCAGATTATCCTTGTTTGATATTATCAGCCTGTTGGCGCCATGCCTTCCTGAAAACAGTCCGGAAAATTTATTACATGGCATTGTTCTGCAAATAAGTTTGACATTGATTGTAATCAGAACTTCTCTCCTTTGCATTCGGGCATTCTGAGACCCCTTTTTTGATGTTGTTGTACATGTATGAGCTGTGATAACTCTTTCCCAACCCTATTCATGAGAATAAAATGTGGTTAAACAAATATAAACATATTAGTTTATGTGTTCCCATTGAATTGGCAGGCAACATTTAAAGAGTGAATACTCAAAACTACACATTTCAGATGTCACCTGAGCTTAATCCTTCTGTATAAGGTGAGTGGTAAGTGATTAATGTACGCCTGTGTTGCCAGATTTGCACAAGGCCCAGCTGAACCTTGAGTCCATGAAGAAACAGGCTGAAGCAACCAACACCGAGTACGACAGACTGCTGAAGGAACACTCTAAACTCCAGGTAGGTCTTATACTCCAGGTATTAGCAGTGTAAAACGTAACTGTGGAATTAAACAACAAAGTCACTCACTCACTCAATCGTTCATATGGCATAGTTCACTTTCTCAATAGGGGGTAGCCAAGTGGTTAAAGTGTTCGCTCATCACACCGAGGGCCCAGGTTTGATTCCTCACATGGGTACAATGTGTGAAGCCCATTTCTGGTGTCCCAGCCATGATATTGCTGGAATATTGCTAAAAGTGGCATAAAACTAATCTCACTCACTCACTCACTCACTCACTCACTCACTTTCTCAATTTGTGTTTTCTTGTGTTGCAGGAAAAGTTTGAGGCTATTGAGAGTACAGGCGGGAAGAAGGACAACTGATACCTTGTGATTGCTTTCCTACAGATTCTTTTCCCATTTATTGGACATATCTTTACATCACAGCTTGTGGTCTGTTTGTTGCTAGATACGTGATACACTTCTCGTCATATACACCTCGTACATATGTGGTAAGCCCAGCTAAAACAGGAATATAAACCTCTGAAGTTCCCCAACCAACATGAAAAGATGTAATCAATACTTCACTGGTTCTTGATATGTTCCTCAACAATGGAGTTTTAACCAACAGTGGAATTGTTTTAGCAAAAGATAGACCAGAGGGCCCTGACCGGTAACCTTAGATCACACAGATGACAATATTCCCTAGTTGACGTGGGTAGCTCAGTGGTTAATGTGTTTGCTTGTTTCACCGAAGGTTCAGGATCTGTCCTGCCAGGTCAGATTGACTACAAAAACAATTTGGTGTTCTTTAGCTTCATTTGCCAGTGCAAATTCTGGTCATATATAAAAATTGGGTGTTCTTTAACCAGTGGAAATGAACTGTAATCATGTGAAAATATCAGATATTCTGTAACTTCTTTTGAGTAAGCTAATTGAGATTATTATAATGGTGAGGAACAGATAATCAGATTATTGAGAATTTTCTAATCACTTGAAGGGCAACCATGCTTTGTTTCTAAGTTTAAGCAGATACTATCCCTCATGACAATGTTTATTTCTGGAATCTATATGTCCATTTTTTTGAGATTTCCATACATAACTTCATATCTTCATGTATCTTTGTGCAAGTATCTTGGCAAGTACCATAGAGCTGACACAAGCTCCCGCCAAGCATGCCAGGAATCAGACCTGCAACCCTCCTGCAATTCTCATCATTACTTGACACGACCTGTTTTATGTGTATGAGGATGCAGTTGCCATGGTTACAGTCTACGTGTTTAATCGTTAAAAGTTACTATTGAGGCTAATTGTTTAACATGTTTAATCCTGCCTCTCAGGTTTGATTTTTCTATGCCTGTATATTGCTGCCGTTTGTATGTTTTTGCCTTTATGGAAATGAATGCCTGGATTTTGTTCTGTTTGATGATTCAATTTCCTGTTAGGGATGGTGCTGGTGTAAATATGTACATCATGAACGGATGTGTAATTGGTAGTTTTGCCAACTATTTTAGATCCAGCCAGTTCAACCCTTTTCCGATTTGGTTCGGTTATCGACTTTGTGCTATTGTTTTGAATATTTCCATGTCTGGTTGTTGTGACTCTGTGTCAAGCTTATGTTTTTGTCATAGATTCATATATATCAGCCGAGAACTAATCAATATTAATCAAAATTATTATCATTCAAAGACATTGCAAGAAATCACTGTATATAGGAAGGCACTGTAAAACAGAGCTGTGTCCCTTGTCATGAGTCTTGGAATAAACAGCATATGTTTGTTTAGCCCAAGACTTCTGATAGGGGCGCTAAATCAGCACTGAACCCAACTCCACACACTCACTGAAAACTGAGTAAATTTCAGCATTTTTTAGAGGGATTTATCTGGACTTGCTCAGAAGCAAATATTCAGTAAAAATTCCTAAATTGGATTTAGACATTTTAGATTTGTCCTGTTGGACTTACAATTGATGTTATGTCTTAGTAGGATGACTTGTTTTTGTTGAAAAACATATTGAGAATACATATAAATATATGACAATGTTAGAAATACACAGAAGATTGATTCTGGGATTTTTGTTGTTTTACTGGATTTTCATTTAATGCAGTGTTAATCATGTTCATTGTATAATACCTCAAGATACTAACAAAAACACCTAGGAGTACCTGATAAGTTTCTAAATGTGGGAAAAGTACCTAGAGGTTGGACCTTGTGGGGCTCACCAATGCTCAGATCCAGGAAGAGACAGGGGACACATCTCTGCAAGTAATTTGTGGCACCTTTGACAGATTGCTGGTAGAGTTATAAACCTTATGGGTGGACAAGCTGTTAGAATGTTCAGTGAAATAATATTTCATACATTATCCCCTCAGGGTTAGTTATAATCCAGTATGTTTGTATACTGTTCTGTTTTTTTCAATAGTACATGACAGTAACTTAACAAGTGGCGAGGTATGTTTTGGTTTCCATTTCGCACTATAAACTACATGGCCTACATACAGGATAAATGTTGAAGGACAGTTAAAGCATGTTGAAATATCATGACTACATATATTACAATGTCTTTTAGTGGTACATATATTACATATTTTAACTTGACTTTTGGTATCTTGCATTATGTTATGTAAAGGGGCGGTGAGGTAGCCTAGTGGTTAAAGCTTTCACAGGTCATGCTGAAGACCCGGGTTCGATTTCCCACATGGGTACATTGTGTGAAGCCCATTTCTGGTGTTCCCCACCATGATATTGCTGGAATATTGCTAAAAGCAGCATAAAACTAAACTCACTCACTCACATATGTGAAAGCACTACAGTTACTAATAGGAGGCGATGGGGTAGCCTGATGGTTAAGCGTCCGCTCGACACGCTGAAGACCCGGGTTCGATTCCCCACATGGGTGCAATGTGTGAAGCCCATTTCTGGTGTTCCCCACCGTGATATTGTTGGAATATTGCTAAAAGCGGCATAAAACCATACTCACTCACTCACTAACAGATAGTGTGAGTGTAGGATTATTCAACAGTTATCAGGCCTTATCCCAAAATGGTGAGACAATGAATTCTTTACCAATGACATGTATATATATACAATATATTGTATTTTGTGGGAAGTGGAATGTAAATTAGTTATGCATACTTGTATTTAGACCTTGAGACAATACTTAGATCATGATTAATATATTGATTCAATTTGAGACTGAGTTTGCTATGTTCTTTTAATGCAAGGCCAGGCAGTGTTATTTCTTTATCTTTGTCAAAAACCAAGATAATCTGTTTTGGAAACCAGGTGATACACGTTTTGAAATCTGATTTGTCAGAAACACTAGTATGTTTTTTGAAATATTGAGGCAGTGTCCCGAAGGGGGCTGTATAGCAGCAGAAACAATGGCCAATGTTTGGAGGTTACCATGGGGATATAACATGACAGAGAAAATACTGTTGATTATTATTTGAAACGCATGTTACATTGTATACATTTGTGTTATTGTAGGATTATTTGTGAAGAAAATAGCATATTCTGCTTCAGATTGACTGTGTACACTGGTATGAAGGTTCTGGCTATGGTTGAACTTGCATCACAAGTATCAGCTGCTGCTGTCAAACTGATGAAGGGTTTGTTAGAAGATTGATTGATTGATTGTTGGACTATATTTTCCTAACCATGTTTCAGAGTGAAATAAAGGCATCTTTAATGAAATCAGCTGTCTGAATTGTCTTTGAAATAAAGTGTGACATGATGGATTTGATTTGATTACTTTCTGATTCAATGTCCTGAGAGGCGTTCATTGATTGTTTGTTTGTTTGTTTAATCCCACACTCCGCAATATTCCAGATATACGGCAGCGGTGTGTAAATAATCGAGTATGGACCAGACAATCCAGTGATCAACAGCATGAACATCAATATACGCAATTGGGACACACTCACATGTGTCGACCAAGTCAGCCAGTCTGACCACCGTTCCGTAAGTCGCCTCTTACGATAATCATGGGTTGCTGAAGAACAGTTCTATCCAGATCTTCCTGGGTTCCCAAAAGTGTTGACTGGATTGTGTGGTCCAGATTTAATTGATTACATGCCACCTTGACATAGCTAAAAAATAGCAGAGTTCAGTGTTCAACAAGAAGAAAACAAACTCGTTCCTAGATACGCGAGTGTCACATTTAACTACAAGTAAAGAAAACCTTGCAGTTTTAGAGCTACATCCCTGCAGTACCAAACATGACGAACAGCAACAGAGTTTGAGATCCAGTGTTGTTTGGCAATACATCCGTGGAGCTTAATGTTTCTTGTTTTACACTGCATTCAGTTTTATGACGTTCCTAACGCTACGACAAGTCTATGATAAACTATAGAGTTACGACAGGCCGTAACTTTACGACCGCTTTGTGACCCTGGACCAGACAATCCGGTGACTGATAACAAGCATGGCATCAAGGCAGCCGAGGTACGATGACATGCATCAACCGAGTCTGTGAGTCTGACCACCAGACTCCTTCAGTCGTGCCTCAAACGACAAGATAGACCCAGTCAAAACTTGGCACAACTGTTGCATTTAGGCTCAGAACATATTGTACAATCCATACCCTCAAATATAATTCCACGTGGAAAGGTTTGCGACTCCCTTTAGACGACAGCACCCTGAAACGACATGCATGCATCCCAACTACGTCATGCAAAGGAACGTCACGTTTGCCAGTAGACTGTCTTACACTCCCTGATTCGCATTATTTTCCATTCCACACAGCCCTTTCTGCAATGATAAAGCACTAAATGAAGCAAGTCTAGATTTCCTCAGCAATCTCCCATCTCACTGGGCTCCTTTTCAATTCAACAGGAATTATTTGTTTCTATTAAAATCGTTTACATCCAGAGACTAAGTGTTAGTCTGCGTTTGCCCGCTGCATACCCGTGTCAACGCGATTCGTCAAAAGAGTCAATTTCTACAGTGTTGGCCACACATGAAACTGACTGAAGTGATATGAATGATTCAGAAATAGTGATCACAGCGGCTATCCTCTAGTTATTAAAGCAGAAGAAGCTGATGTATCTTTGCCAAAAAGGTTTTGGGGGCTTGTGTGTTTGACAAGAGATTTAGGGTAGGCTACAGGTTAAGGTGCTTGCTCGTGCTTGACCAGGATTTTGAATCCACACACACAGGTACACCACGTGAAGCTGCTTGTTACCTGTCGCTGTGATCTCTGTAGTAGTGTGTTAAAGGGGCCTAAACCAACGCACAAACACATGCAGTGTCGCGAGTGCGTGATTTAGCAATATTTCAGCAATATCACGTCGAGGGACACCAGAAATTGGCTTCACACATTGCATATAAGGGACTTGAACCGTGTCTTCGGCGAGACGAGCGAACGCCTTAACCACTAGGCAACAATACCGCCCCTACAATGTTATTATCAATTGGGTCTGGGAACGACTGGCCTTAGCGGAAGCTCAGATTATCCTGACACTGTCATCTTATTGGGAAGGCGTTGATGTCAGGTGACACACTACTGAGTTGTGGACTGAATAGTCCATACCCTGTTTCCCTACACTCCCTCACTCACTCCACGGCCTACAGCCAGGGATCAGTTGACAGACGCGGTATACCTACTGTCTTACCTGGACAATACCAATTCATCTCGGCTCTCTCAGCGTTTCCACACTACATAAAGTATATTCCAGGAAATTAATTTATTTATTTGGTGTTTCTCTCAGCGTTTCCACACTAAGCATATTCCCGGAATTGAATTTAGTTTAAATCATCTACGTATGTTGAGCAACACATCATTATATCACTCCTCCGTAACTCAAATATTTCTAATATTCGCTACACATTTATTTTTCTTTAAGACAGTCAAGTCGATTTCTTGCTCGAGTTTGCCAAGACGGGTAACTGGACACATGCACCGCAACCTGTCATGGCTTATCAAAGTAATAAATGGAGGCCAAGCGGCAACTCTGAAACTAATTGCTCTCACCTCCTTTGCTTATCGAAATAACTAAACGTCGCCGACTCCCGTTTGGGGAGACTTCGGCTGCGTTTTGGCGCACAGAAACAGTGATGAAATTTTATGTTAAATGTATCAATCCTGGTTTATACAAACTCTGCAAATTTCATCAACTTATTTCAAGGTATTTCTTTCATATATCATCACGTTATAAGTATGATAAATGGTGTTTCATTATTTATTCAACAAATTCTGAAATTGAAAGTTAATCACCGAAACATGCGCTGAAACACAACACTTCTTATCAATTAAACAGACGAGCGATTAATTCAGCATGTAGATTATAAATATCCCGATAAGGCATCATTCACGGTAGCTATAGGTTACAAGTTTCCAACACCATGAAACATTATAAGCAAACGGGCGGTTTACAAGATACAACATAACTATTCACGGAATATCGGAGGTTGAACGTTATGTCTCACAGGTAGGGGATTATATATTTTTATTATTCTCGTCATGAAAATTAACATAAATGTCCCATATTTGGGACTCGGGTCATACTGTTTCAAATCTTTTTAAAGTTATATTCTTCGTTGGCTGGGATAAGCATGTGAATAACTTCAGTACTTACATGATTCAACATCCCTAGATTGTTATTATGTGTAATTTGTGAATTTATTGTCAACCAATTATTATTATTATTATTATCCCCCGCAACGCGTTTTGCGGGGGTATTAAAATGGACTCCGTCCGTGCGTCCATCCGTCCGTCCGTGCACATTTGTCTTTTCCGGAGCAGAACTCTAAAAGCGTTCAATATTTCTTCACCAAACTTGGCACATACATTGATCTGGTGGTGTACTGGTGTCTTTTGGAAGTTCTGGAATTCTGAATAAAATATTTTTGGCGTTTCCATGGCAACAAGTTCGACTTAGACTGAAGTTGGTGGTAGTGCTCTTTTCCGGAGCAGAACTCTCAAACCGTTCACTATTTCTTCACCAAACTTGGCACATACATAGATCTGGTGGTGTACTGGTGCCTTTTGGTGCTTTTGGAATTCTGAATAAAATATTTTTGGCATTTCCATGGTAACAAGTTTGACATAGACTGAAAATGGTGGTTGTGCTCTTTTCCGAAGCTGAACTCTAAAACAGTTCACTATTTCTTCACCAAACTTGGCACATAGATTAGTCTGGTGGTGTACTGGTGCCTTTTGGTAGTTTTGGAATTCTGAATAAAATATTTTTGGCATTTCCATGGCAACAAGTTTGACTTAGACTGAAATTGGTGGTAGTGCTCTTTTCCGGAGCAGAACTCTAAAACCGTTCACTATTTCTTCACCAAACTTGGCACATACATTGATCTGGTGGTGTACTGGTGCCTTTTGGAAGTTTTGGAATTCTGAATAAAATATTTGGCGTTTCCATGGCAACAAGTTCGACTTAGACTGAAATTGGTGGTAGTGCTCTTTTCCGGAGCAGAACTCTCAAACCGTTCACTATTTCTTCACCAAACTTGGCACCTAGATAGATCTGGTGGTGTACTGGTGCCTTTTGGTAGTTTTGGAATTCTGAATAAAATATTTTTGGCATTTCCATGGCAACAAGTTTGACTTAGACTGAAATTGGTGGTAGTGCTCTTTTCCGAAGCAGAACTCTAAACCGTTCACTATTTCTTCACCAAACTTGGCACATACATTGATCTGGTGGTGTACTGGTGCCTTTTGGTAGTTTTGGAATTCTGCATAAAATATTTTTGGCGTTTCCATGGCAACAAGTTTGACATAGACTGAAATTGGATATAGTGCTCCTTTCTGGAGCAGAACTTTAAAAACCTTTCAATGCTCTCCTTCCACTTTTCTATATACACACCTAAATATTTGACATAATCATAACTCGTAGACATAATCATGAAGTGTATTTTGCCATTGCGGGGGATATTGATGACTTTGTCTTGTTGTTGTTGTTGTTGTTGTTGTTGTTGTTTATCCGAAACCAGGGTCAAGACTTCCGAGTTTTCAGTGTACTGCATACTGATATCCAACTGACCTGTGAAGATCCGGGTTAGAATTGGTCTTCAGTAACTTGTCGTAAGAGGCGACTGACGGGATCGGGTGGTCAGACTCACTGACTTGGTTGACACATGTCATCGTATCCCAATTGCGTAGATCGATGCGCGTGCTGTTGATCACTGGGTTGTCTGGTCCAGACTCAATTATTTACAGACTGCCGGATTATTGCTGAGATTATTGCTGAGTGTGGCGTAAAACTACAAACAAAACAAGATATCCAACAGCATCCACGAATGGGAGAGAGTCGGGTTTAAAGCCGCTTTTTCATGTTACATCACGGCGGGTGATTGTGGGAAGTGAACCACTTTTGTGAAACCATGATCACCATTATAGTGCTGCATCAGTTTCATTATAATCACTGGCGAATACGGGATTCGAACCCACGACCACAGGGTCCTGACACGACAAATGGACGCAGCGGCACCCGATAAGCCTGCACCGCCCATGACATGGTGAAGTTGCGGGAAACACATACATGAAACAGCAATGTCCATGTACAAAGGTAGTCAATAATTCAGGTTCTTTAAGACGACCGACAGATAGATGACTCATCGTCATGATGGCGTCATGTTTGACTTTGAAACCATTTACTTTAATCTGAGTGAGTGTGTTTTTACGCCGCATTTAGCAATATACCGACAAAATTCCAATGACATCCAGAATTGGCTTGACACGTTAC